AATGATAATTATTAGAAGCACGCTACTATGTATAGCTCTTTTTTTTTTTTTTTTCGCAATAGAAAGGCGTTTTACTAAATAAAATCAAGTGATTTTTTTCTGAAGTTGAATTTTTGTAACTATAAAATTAAAACAGGGAAACAGGTCAAGTTCAAGGAAATCAGACACTCTGATATTGTATGCGCCCTCAGCACTATGTAGGTGCAATCGCACTGTGACCTGAATTTTTAAGGGCTGTGATACGGGTTTCAAAGTGGGGAGGGGGTCAAGATAATCAATTTGTTAAAAAAGTCCTCCATATCTAGATTTTTAGAAAAGGAAAAAAAAGTCCTTTAGCAAAAAAGTGGGGGTCACGTGCCCCCTCCCCTGGTGTTGTTGGCTCTGATATAAGGCCTCAAGTAACTAAGATAACGGTGCCTTTTTTGAATAAAAATTTAATTTTTTTGATCAACATAACCGCCCACCAAAACTTCTTGCATCCTTCACTAGGAATAAATATAAGTTCTTGATATTAACTTTGTCGTTAGCATCTACTTTAATTTAATAATTGATAATAATAGATCATATATTAATTCAATGGCGCTAATAGAACGATATTACGCAAAATTAGGTTTTATTTCTTTTACAATAGTTTTATTTCTAGAATTTTTTCCCGTTATATTAAAAGAACGTAATTATATATGTTTAATCATTTCTTGCAATAATTACACAATGTAACAACATTTTTGTTTATGTTAATTTTTTAATGTTTCTTACATAAATTTGGTACCCTGATTTCAGTGGTACCATTGCTTTTGCTTTATCATCAAGATTTCCTGTGGAAAAGCATAAAGTATATTTCGAAGTTTTCGTAAGTGTAATTCATTTATAACATTATATATTTATATATGCTGATTTTAACTCATTTTCTCCGCTTCGCCACTGACAGTGGCTCGTGGATTTTTTTTTCTTTTTGGCAAGCCACTGTCAGCGGCTTAGTATATTTTGCGTCTTTTTACTATAATCCCACTTTTAATATTACGTTTCCTGATTATAGTTTTTTAGGTATTCAATTGTCACTACCTTTGTTATTGTTTGTATTTATTTATGTTAATTTAAAGCAGTTTTTTAATAAATGTTAGCACATTTTGGGTACGATTTTTTAAACAAATGCTTCTGAGAGAATGATTTAACTATATTATTTTGTTTATTTTTAGTTTAACTAGTTACAACTGTTATATGAAGTAATAAATATGTCTAGTAGATCTTGCGAGCTTTGCCCTGGTTCATTCTGTTTTGTTTGTGGTTACTATATTAGTTTAACACAAACTAAACATAAGATTGTCAGTAGTAAAAATTCTTTACTGCATATCATGCCAATTTTGGCATGGATATAGGAGATCAGGACAAATTGTGGGTACCACACTACAGTTGTGGCAGCTGCAGATCAACTCTGGAAGGATGGCTGCGTGGAAACCGAAGGTCAATGTCCTTTGCGATTCCAAGAATATGGAGAGAACCGACGAACCATCATGATTATGATGGTTCGTCGGTTCATCACTGTTATTTCTGCATTGTTGACATTTCAAAGTATAAAAAACCGAAGGATAGGCTGACTCTAGTTTATCTAAGTAATCCCTCTTCTATTGGACCAGTTCCACACAGTGATGAATTGGCTGTTCCTAACCCACCTCAATCAGAAGAAACAACTGCATACCATTCTGATGTAGACACGCCAGATGAACTTCGTGATGACTGTGATTTCAGCGAACCGAATGATTCACCTCATTTCCCAAACCAACAAGAACTTGCAAAAACTGCAAAACTTTTGACATCACGTTTGAAAGAATGGAATTTATTAGATTCAGGTTGCGGAACCTCAAAATACCAAAAAAGACACAAAACATTTGTGTCCTTTTATGTAGTATCAGAATCACTGTGCTACTGTCGTGATGTTCATGGTCTTTTTGATCACATTGGCGTTGTTCACAATCCTGAAGAGTGGATTATAACAGAAACCAATTTCCTTCGATTCCAGTAGCTCATTCCGTTTATCTAAAGGAAGACTACAAGAAAGTTGTTGCTTGAGAAAATCAAATACGAAAGTTACTAATGGGATGTATGTGGAGACTTTAAGGTGCTAGCATTTCTTCTCGGTCTACAAGGAGGATACACAAAGAACTCATATTTTCTTTGTTTACGGAATACCAGGGCTGCAAACCAGCACTTCACGAGACGTGAGTGGCCAGTGAGAGAACATTTACAGCCTGGTTTGCACAATGTTATTAATCAATCCCTGATACCTGTTGAGAAGATCTTACAACCACCCTTTCACATTAAACTAGGTCTTGTCAAACAGTTTGTCAAAGTTTTAAACCCAGCTAGCGTTCCAGCATATTCAGAAGATGTTTACAAGGGTGTCACATGCAAAAAGGTGTCACATGCAAAAATATTAGCAGGTGTATTCGTTGGTTCGCAGTTTAAAGTTATGTTGGCATGTAAGGAGCTGGAGGATAAAATGTCTGCTGTTGAAAAAGAAGCATGGATTGTGTTTAGACATGTTGCTCATGGTTTTTTAGGCAAAAATAAGAGTGATAACTACAAAGAGGAAAACTTAATTGTACGGTACGCAGATATAAAATGCAGAATGTCAATAAAGCTGCTTTACCTGCATTCACACTTGGAATTTTTCATACCAAATTTGGGTGATGTGAGTGAAGATCATGGAGAACGTTTTCATCAGGATGTCCATGCAATAGAGAAAAGATACCAGGGCAGATGCAGCTATGATGGGTGACTACATCTGGTGTTTGATACGCGATGACACAAAAAATCATAAAAGATAACCACGTTCTACTGTTCACTTCTAGTCCTTTTTGAGATTTTGAGAATTATATTAGAAAATAATGTAACATTATGTAATATAAGTATGTAACGTGATGTAGCATGACATTTTGTAACATAACATAATGTTTTTAAACTAGTTAATGCTACATGTTGAAGTTGTATCTCATGCAATATGATTAATATGTTTAATTAAATTTTTGGTTTTATGATCAAACGGTTATTGCAATAAAAAAACCAATGTCATTTTTAGACTTAGCATATTGAAATTAAATAAGAAACATCAAAAAAACTTGATAAACAGAGTTTTTTTTTTTTTTGTAACATTGTGTTATGCAAGCCCTCCCCAGAAACAGAAACGAAGTAATAACTTTCTATTAAATTATGTAGAATACACATATGAAGGACTAAATATGTTCGCGTAAGTTTAAAGAAAGAACGTCAAGCTATTTGATTACAAATGTTTTAAATGGTTATTTTTTTTAAATCCATAATAAGTTACGTTTTTTTTAATACCAAGTGTGACCTATTCAAAAAAAGTGTAACAAAGATAAATATTTAAATATTTTTTAATTAAAACTGCTATTTTGCTTCACATAAAATTTACAATAAATAAAAAACCATACATAGAAACTAAAAATAAGGTGAATGTTGACACACCCTAATAACCCTGACAACCATATAAATGTTCTTTAAATTGAGGAAACTTGTAAGTTACATACTCGGCAAGTAAACAAAAATAACAAAAAGTAATGTTTGTTAAAAATATTTATAAAAAATAATAAAACTGTACATTATATTGATGTCAAATGCTAAATTTGGCATTTGACATCAGCTGTCAAATGGCAGATGGTGAAAACAAGAGAGAAATTAGGTGTCAAATGCGGCATTAGATATTTGGCATTCAACATCTGATCTTGTTCTTGCTTCCGCCATCTGGAATTTGACTGCTGATTTTGTCCTCTTCGCTAGAGATTTTAAACCACACCCCTTATAAAAAAATGTGTAGGGTGTATTATATCACGAGCTACGCGTTTGCAATGTTTCACTTCAGTGGAGAACACCTCTGGACATTTGTTACCTTATTATGTATGCATACCTATATCGACTATAGTAGATGTATAAATAAATCAATGTGAAAATATCACTTGAGGATTAAAGCTTATTTTGTCTATAATACTGCAGTTTTTCAAAATGATATTTAATTGTGCAAGAAAAGATATTAAAATGCGAATATAAATCAAAAATTAATCAAACGCCATAAAATAGTACAGTAATAACCAAAAATTTAGGAGCAAAATCCAGGTCAAAACTCGGCACCTCCGGACCGTTTTCAAGACCCGCCCAAAGGGGCAACCAATCACTGTTATTTTTTTAGAAAAAATGATCAGCGGTTGGTTGCCTCTCTCAAACAGGTCTCGGAAAGGGTTTGGGAGGTGCCGAGTTATGACCAGGATTTCGCATACTGTATAGATATTAAAATGCCAATATAAATAAAAAATTAATCAAGTTTCATAAAATAGCACAATAATAACCAAAAATTTAAGAGCAAACACAACAGCCTGCAAAACTCAGGTCAGAACTTGACATCCCGAACCGTTCTTTTAAACACCCGCCCGAGAGGAGCAACCAACCAGTGTTCTTATTTGAGAAAAAATGAACTGTAGTTGGTTGCCTCTCTCAAACAAGTCTTGAAAAGGGTTTAGGGAGTGCCATGTGATGACCAGGATTTTGCAGGCTGCAAAGATATTAAATATAACAAAAAATTAACTAAAATCCATAAAATAGCACAATATTAACCAAAAATTAAAGAGCAAACACAATAGCATACAAAATCCAAGTAAAAACTCAAAATCCCTGGACTATTTTTGGGACCCGCCTGAAGGTGGCAACTGACCACTATTCTTTTTTTTAGAAAAAATGAACAATGCTTGGTTGCCACTCTCGAACGGGTCTCGGAAAGGGTCCGGGAATTCCCAAGTAACAACCAGGATTTTGCAGGCTACACACGGTAAAACTAGTTCAAAAAACAACATTTAAAAATAACATCAAAGAACAACAATTTATACTGATGTTGCTTTTACTAAAAGTAGTAGCAGGTTAACAATGGCAGCAGCAATTATCCATATATCATATATTAGAGGGACAAATGTAATAGGCAGAGTGTTTTTTAGAAGTTAAAATTTTTTCAGCTTTTCAATGACACACTCAATGTATATTCTTGCACATGCTATGCGCTTGCAATGATACGCTTCAGAGGGTATGCACTGTCGCTTACTTCGTAAAAATGGTGGAATTACAGCTTTTACCTGCCTCGATAGAAATAAATCTTGAACATTAAAACCTATATCAAAAAGTGCAATAAAACAGGGAGTGAATCTTCTTGCAACATTGCAACCTTCAGTGATAGAACAATTTGAAGAAGCTCCACAGTAATCTTTAGAAACAAAAGAGATAGAACCGCCTTTAGTACAAAATATAAGTTTTTTTAATGTGTCTACTTTTATAAGAACTATATGTTTGATATTGAACTTTAGCATTGGCAGATTTTTGAATAGTTTGTTCAATACACTCACCAATACTTTCAACATAAACAAAATCTCCAGTAAAATGAGGATGTGCAAAACTTAATGTTTCTTCTCGAGTAGGCCTGGTTCAAGTTCTCGGGCTAATATACTTATAAATATAGTTAGAATCCTAGACGCAAGACTTGCTAAAATTGTAAAGCAAAAAGCTAAATCTTGTAATGGTGAGTAAAGTTAAATACGCATTAAAGTAAGTAACACTTTATCTTTTACAAAAAGCTGTCGTGTTGGACCAGGTTTCCTTCTACTTGAAGGTTTATTAGCAGGGCTAAATTGATACTGCTTTGGCTTAAATGAACTTCTATGATGCATAAAGTAAGAAACTTTTTTATGTTTTATGTTTAAAGAAAGCACTACCTCCCATGATAATCTTTTATGATTATTTTGTTTATAAAGTCTTGTTAGTGGTAGATAAGTTGTTGGTGCGTTAGTAATTAAATTGAGTCGTTGTAGAGAAAGTTGCTGATCAGATGCTGTAGACATGGGGAAATATTGTTACTGCTACTAGTAGTGATATAGGCACTTGAAAAATGTGTTTTTTAGAAACTTTATTAGGTGTATATTGAGACATTGATAACTTTTCTTTTATTTTGAGGAGAGGATATTTCGTATCCTTTCAAATATAACCTTGATTTAGGGGATAGCTAAGTTGGCTTCTGATATTTAAAATTATTTGCACATACTTTTGTATTCTTATTTACAGCATATAGCTTTCTTTTTTTTGTTAAAGGGTCAACTATTTCTCTGTTAATAATTGAACTCCATGTGGAAAAATATTTATCTTTACAAGTAAAAAATTTTAATTCGCTGAAACTAAATGTCTTCCAAATATGATATTTTCTTTGTATCGACAATCGCGTTATGTTAATTCTTCAATATATCTATTTATTTCATAAAAATATATTTAACTTTTAAGGTTCTGATGATATGATCTTTATGATCTTCTTTCCGAAACCTAGCTTTATATTGTTAGAACACTGAATTGCTTATTTTTTTGAAAGACTTTTTTATTATTATGTATCACGACTTTCATTGTAAACTAAAAAAAAAAAATAGTTGAACAACAAAGAAAAAAATTTTCGTCAACAAATTTGTTTTTGTATTTTTAACTTTCGTATTATTTGAATAGTATTACAATAAAAAAGGATATTGAATAGCCAAAAGAAAAAAAGGATTAAAAAAATAGAGACTTCATTAGATTCAAACTTAATTAATAATGAATAAAAAAAGATGTAAGCATTACTGTACATTGAAAAAATGATCCAAGTTCATTAGATTTAAACTAAATTAATAATGAATAAAAAAAGATGTAAGCATTACTGTACTTTGCTAAAAATTAGTTTAGTTAATTAGTTAATTAATGAAAAAAATTAAATGTTTTATTATAGTTATGAAAAACTTTATTAAGTATTCAAAATTTCGGTTAGGTTATAGATCTAATCCCAGTATATCAGTTCCAGTTTGTTATATCATCCTGTTTGTTAGATTTATATGGCAATAATAAAAATTCGCTTTTATAACAAAAAAACGTTGTAAAACCGGTTATCCGGTATTACAATTTAACAAAAAACAAAAACCAGTTTATAGGGCTTGGCAAAAACCTATAGGACTTGGCAAAAAATTTCAGGTTTTCTCCAAGCCCTATAGGTAACTCAAACTTTTGTTATCTCAAACTTTTCCATTTGGTTCTTTGAAATTGCCTAATTGATTATTATTAAAACTCTCCGGTTTAGTCGAACTCTCGGATAACTTATTTACTTCTAACCATTTTTTCGTCCCCTTTCAGCAAATTTCTTTGAATAATACGAAATATTTGTATGAGAAATGAGTAAAACAAAATAACTTGATTAGATTTTTTTTAAAAAAAGTTTTTTCCATATAAGACATAAATAACAGTAGCCTAATTTTTAATTTTTAAACATTAATTCCGAGCTGAGAAAGAAACAATTTTTGAACCAATGGCAAAACACTCAAAATGTTATACCTTGGTTCCAAACCATAAAAGAAAAACAATTCTGCAAGTTTTTAGCCTTTGATATTAATGATTTTTATCCATCGAATAATGAAAACCTGCTGAAAGATGCGTTATCCTTTGCAGAGCAACATTTAATAATAAATAGTGAGCAAAAAAGTTTTATACACCATGCAAGAAAATCATTATTATTTAGCAATGAAACTGCTTGGATTAAGCAAAAGGGAGGTTTATTCGATGTCACTATGGGTAGGGGGGTCCATAATTGTCTTTTTTTAGATTTTTTATAGTTTAATCAATTTTTCTTAATTAGTTTTTCATGCTGATTCTAAAAACCATAATCATTTTTTTTTCATTTTTATTATTTAGCCTTTTACTTCGATTTTAATAAAAGTGAATATATTGACAAAAAAAGACATTGTTAAAAATAGATGAAATTATTATTATCATTAAATATAAGAAAAGTAGAAAACTAGAAATCTTTTTCTGTTTAAGTTATTAATAATATACCTTATCATTTATAAGTAACAAAAAAAACTAAGCATTATATACTAAAATAATTTATACAGTTTGTTATTTACTATTGAAAATGGAAAATAACTATAAAAGTCATCATATGTGATAGAGATTGCTGCGTGAACTTTCCTTATAGAACATCTTATGAGCATGTTCTTTGGTAGACATAAGATGGAGGTTTGTATTTTTATATCTACAATCATATATTTAAACAGAATAGACCTCCGCGACAATGACCTATATTGTATCCCTAAAATAAAGAACCTCATTTTTTGAACTTTTTTTTCATTTTAACGTATCTTTATCTACTTCAATAATGTCTAGTTCACAGCTAAATAGGCTCCCTTCCAACTATAATCAAGCTAAAACAGAATTCATCTTGCACACCTGATGTAAAGTTTGCTGCTCTTCCATTGTTATCCAATGTTTTTGGAGCTGGTTTCAACTATATTCCATAGTTTTAACTTTTTGGACAAATAACTAAACAATAATTTTCCAAAATATTTTTAAACTGCGCGAACCTTCATTTTTTATATGGTTTATATAATTAAGTATACATCTGTTGAAATTAAATGGTTTTTTTTCAAAGCTTTCCAACTGCAACAACTTAATTAGAAACTTAATACTAATCATATTCCATCATCAACCAAACACATAATACTTTTCTCTTTTTTGAAGTCCTGAGGCTAACGTTTGCAAAAAAACTCTAGCAAAAATGATACAAGCATTCAACCTCTTTGAGGTATACTTATTAACTGCTTCTAGAATTTTTTAGCTATTCACTACGTTTTAGGGTACAGCAGAAAATTTCAAAATTTGATCACCCAGTTTGTTTTTTATAAACCCTTTTAGGTAGCGGTGTTTCTTTAGCCTGTTTATTTTTAGAATTGCTAAAACTTTAGAATTTAACTGAACTTCTACTGACTGACACTTTAAAAGAAGATTTATTCTTGACTCCATTAAAGAAAAGTGAAAAAAAATGGAATCTTGAACAGCCTTCTTGATAGCTTGAATAACGATTAAAAATAAATAAAAAAAGGAAATTAAGATATTTTGAAGCAATCTTTTTTTTTGATTACTTAAAACGCTTTGTTCAGAAAGAGACTTCAGATATAACTTTTTTTTGAAGCAATCTGTCGTTTTACTTATTTAAAACGTTTTTTTAGAAAAAGACTTCAGATTTAACTTTTTATTTCTAAAACGCAACGATTAAAAATCAAATTTATCCAATCAAAATTTGAATAGCATAAATTTGAAAAAAAAGTTGCGTAACTTTATACGCAAAGAAACTTTTGCAAAGACTTTTATTTTTTATATCTTTAAATTTTAAAAATAGAAGTAGAAGGTCAACCATAAAAAATTAGCAAAAATTGAATTGTTTTTTGAACTTTTCTCAAAAAAATAATTAAGAATAACTGGTTAAACAAGAAATATAGAATTTTGGACCCCCCATACTATGGGGGCCTTTGATGGCGCGGAGATTTGGGAATTAGTTGGTATTTTAATTTTGTATCAAATCTTGCAGTTTTACGATAAAAGTAATTTCAGTAAATATCGAGATGATGAATTAGCTATATTTAGAAATAAAAGTGGTCAGGAAATGGAGAGTATAAAAAAACATTTTGCATAAACACCCTAATCACCCATTGCCTACTCACCTACCTAATCACCACCCCACCACCAATCACACACCTTCTAATCACCGACCGAGTATAATAAAAAGTATTTCTAATACCATTAAGTTAAGATTATCAGCAGCATTGTCAAGTAAATCGATTTTTAAAGAAAGTATTCCTTCTTATCAAGAAACCCTGAAAAAATCTGGATACACTTGCGAACTTGCAAACCATCCAAGTATAAAATCTTCAAACAGCAACCATAAACGTAAAATAATTTGTTATAATCCTCCTTTCAGTGCAAATGTTGTAACAAAAATAGGTAAATGTTTTTTAAACCTCATCGACCACCACTTTCCAGTTAACCACAGACTCCATAAAATATTTAATAGAAACACAATCAAAAAAAGTTATTCATTCATGCCAAACATAAAATCCATTATCAACTCTCGCAATAAAAACACGTTACACGAGGAGGAAAAAGTTAATGAAAAGACATGCAACTGCATTGATAAATCCAAATGTCCGATAAGCAACCATTGTCTTTCTAACAACATTGTTTATCAAGCCACCGTTTGTTCAAACAATCCGGAGTACTAAGAAAAAGTGTATTTTGGACTCAGCGAGACATCTTTTAAAGTTCGATACGCAAACCCCCTCAAATCTTTTAATTCAACTAGATATAAAAATGATACTGAGTTATCTAAAGAAATATGGAAATTAAAAAAATTTGATGTATAATGTTGAAAACCTACTTCACACAAGGAGTGAAACAATCTGGAACTGAAGACACAAAAATAAATTTCTTATTTCCTCCTATGATACCGTAGATTGATCCTGATTGGTTTACGTCACTTTTTCGCCACGAGATACACTTAATTTTAACGTCTATTTTAAATTTTGTAATATATGGCTAATGATTGCCGTTAGGCATGAAACTTAAAGTTCCATAATAAAAGTTTTTTCTTTTTTCGTTTTCAATTATAAACCGCTCTATTATGAAATTTATATATAATCAAAATAAATTTCTTAATTATTGAGAACTTTTCAACAAACAAGAGTTGTGTATTATTTTAATACAACACTACATAAAACGATATATATATATATATATATATATATATATATATATATATATATATATATATATATATATATATATATATATATATATATATATATATATATATATATATATATATATATATATATATATATATATATATATAATGTTTCATGTTGTGTTGTATTAAAATAAAACTAAACTCTTGCTCGTTGAAAAGTTATTTAGGAAATTTCTTTTGATTATATATAAATTATATAAATACAGAGCAATTTGTAATTAAAAAAGAAAAAGAAAAAACTTTCATTATGGAACTTAAAGTTTCATGCCTAACGGCAATCATCAGCCATTACAAATATATTACAATATTAAGCTACTAGGTAAAATGCAAACTGCGAACCGTGGAACTGCAAACTGGTAAAATGCGAACTTTTTTGCTAGCCATCGTCCTATTGGTTGTTAATGATGTAATGTTTTATTTCCGTTAAATATTTCATTTAGCGGTATATTTTAAGGACTTTTAAGCGAAAAAATTATTTAAAAAAAAATAAAATGAAATTAAGTGAAACTAGGCAAATACAATATAATTTTTTTTAATAATTATTTAATAAACTGCGTTTCCAAACCAAACCCTCAGTCGATTTAGCAGCAATCCTTTGCGAGTCAGGCTATAAGATAGTCGATGTAGAAGCACTCCCTTGCGAGTCAGGCTATAAGGTAGTCAAGGTAGCAACACTCTGCGCATGTTTTACAGTTAAAAAATATAAATTTTATTTTAAATAAAGCTTTAAAATAGATAATTAAGAATTTGAGACTTTTTTTATTATTATTTTGATCATAACAATAATGGTCTTTAAAATATAATGTTTTGGTTCGCAAAAAAGTTCGCATTTTACCGGTTTGCAGTTCGCAAACTGCGAAATGCAAAATTATTAAAAACTAAACGTTAAAATTGCAATTAGAATTACGGTAGTGTGAGTTCTAATAACTCCATGGAAACAAAATTTGTCAAAATTTTGTTTCCATGGAGTTATTAGAAAAAAATCAAAATTTGTTTTGCGGGTAATTCTATTCTTCTGAAAATAGTTTGCAGCATTCAAAGTGGTATACTTTAAATGCTACAAACTATTTTCAACTAACAGGGAGTATATTTTTATTCAAATAATGTAATAATAATGTGTTAATATTTTGTGCTGTTGTTAATAAGCGATTACCAAATACAGAAAATGTAATATATGATCAATTCTGACTAAACTTTATGTAATGTGTATTTTTATGTTTCATATAAGAAAACCCTAATCTATTTTCAGGTCAAACTTGAGTAAAACAGAAAACCTTGGACGCAAAGAAAATTCAACAATGGCGGAGAACAATGAAAGACTATGTTGGTGGTTTAAGAGTCAAATGGTTCCTGTGGCATCTTCTGAATTGCACAATAAAATGGAAGAGCTAGCAAATTCTGAAGAGATTTATTCAATTAAAATTATTCAAGACGGAGAGCAAAGATGCAAACGAAGAAGTTATTATTAAAACCGCGGTTAAGTTGATAAAGGCATAAATTTTAAATCTTAAATTCAACATAGAGATTCACCCATCTAAATACAATTTTGAGCATCATGAATAAAGTTTGGGTCCGTTTGTCTTCTTTATAAAACAAATTACATCAGATGAATTAAAACAATCTTCTATCGGTCAAACTATAACAAAAGCTATTCGATCGCATTGTTATGTGTCGCCTTTGCCTTTTTGGATTAGGAATAGAACTAGACCACAAGTTTGGATCAAAATGGTTGACAAATGAATTTTTAAAACTAGGATTTTGCATAAGTCCACCAGAAATAATATGTTTCAAACACTCCGTTATGGCTTGATGGATTACTTTTCATGGAATGGACATTATTGCTGCTGGGATGATAAACTATAAAATTTTGGATAATAAACGTCCAGTTAAATGAATAAGTTATAGTTTAAAAAAATTAAGTTGTAGTTTAAAAGCAGCAGAAATAGTCTATGAAATAAATATTCCGATTTTGTGGTACGACGTTCCTGACACAGCTGCTTTGACAAAGATACTCTTCAAGCCCATTGTTGAGCTTCAGTCGCCACAGACTTTTTCATTCTCCGTCGTGGTGGACCTTTTTGGCAAATTTCTTTCCTTTCAACTGCCGTTGAGAACTGGGCACAGTGGAACGGATTTATGCAACTTAATCATAATGGTAAAAGTCATCCCGGAAAAAATCAGGTATTCATAGCGCCTATTATTAATTAAAACCCATCTGATGAAAACTGCATTTATTTTACACTAGTTTTTATACAGAACCAAGCAAAGTCAATGAAATTTTCTCCTCCAGGTGTAACCTTTGATCAGTTTTTATATTTAAAAGCTTATGAAATTGCAAAATTTAAAACAATTGAATATAGCTATTCAATTGGGAGGATTTCACACATTGATGAGCTTTCTAGAAAGTATTTGTATGATTATGGATGGATCGGGGCTGAATAGATTTCGCAAACATATTTATGCAAGCAACTCGGTAATGCATATAATGACTGGTAAAGCAGTAGCTAGAGCACTAAAAGCTCACTTCTTAGTTGAATTTACCTTGACGAGTCTACTTTTTAAACAGGTCCCTAAAGGTGAAGTCGACACTTCTTCCCTAGAAAAATGTATCAAGATCTGTCCAAGGAAATTCGGATTTGGAAGACCCAAACAATACTGTATAATTATAAAGTTCACAAATCTTGTTGAAAATTTAAAAATGCAGCTTTCAAGTTCATCCAGAACAGCAAAACTATGGTTGCAATATCTTGAATACATTAGCAATATCAAAATGTTCATTAGAGTAGAGAGAACTGGCAACTGGCAAGAACATCTGAAAGCCATAAGGCTTATGCTTAATTTATTTGCGGCAACGGGACATATAAAATATGCCAAAAGTGTTCGGTTATATTTTCAATCCATGCATTCACTTAATTAGAACACCCGTGGCTTTATGAAAAATACTGTAAATCAGACTACCATTGTATCAGACGCACGGATTGCTATTGGGTTGGTCTTTAGCTTGATTTAGTAATTGAACAGTGCATGATGAGATCAATAAAAAGCAATAGAAACTTAACTAGAGGAAGAGGTATGTCCAAGACTACAAGGAATAATTGTGTTATTACCTTGGACAAATGCGGACCAATCCATGAACCAATGTCAACACTTACAAAACATCGTTTTAAGAGCAGTCAACAATATTATAAATCTCGTGGATTATATCGAAAAAGAGATACTAAAGATGTTAAAGCATTAAAGGAACATCTCAAGCTATTTAATCCTTTCGAGTTTTAAGACTCAATACTTCAATGTATATATACTAGCCTAAGTGCTGATAAAGATGATGAAATCAGTTGTGTTCAAGCAAAAACAGTTGGTTTAGAAATTCAAAACAGTCTTAATAATATTGCATCCAACCAAGCAATTATCAAGCTTTCAAAGCAGGTCAAAACACTTGCCACGTTGCTACTAGCTATCAAAGTTAATGGCGATGCAGACCACGTAGACCCTAATGTTTTTTTTCGAAGGCTAATCATGATAATTGATAAGGCCGACCCATTAAAAAAAAAACGCTTTTTTCGTCTGGGATTCATGGGATCCCACATGAAACCCAGTGGGACAAGCATTTTTTTTCACTGGGGAAGACTTGACTGACTGATTTGAATATGAATTAACTCCAGAGCCCACATCTCTCTTCAAAGATGGTTTAATGAGAAAACCTAGCAAAGCAGAGCTCGGTGGAGAACTCATTAATTTCCACAATTTTAACATTGAATAATTACACAACTTATATTCTTGATGAAATAGTTTTGCTGCATCGAGTTTTTTGGAATCTTCCAGCCACATACTCAAACATCATGGAGCAATATTGTACATTTATTACAAAAAGTATAGTTTTTTAGTCAAAGGGAAATAGCTGTACTGAAGTTTATTGAATCAAATAGTGAGTTTGCTCAAAATATTTATAAAGTCTTCCAAGATTCCTTTGCAACACAAGATCAGGTAGATAGTGTTGGAATGCAAGTGGTTTTGAATATGTATGGTATGCAAAACACCATTCATTGTCCTTTATTTTTATCATTAATATTGTTATTATAATTATTATTAAAATGTCATATTGTTTTGCTAAGGTTTAATTTAACTCAACTATTTTTATATGTGAAAAAAATAAACAAGTCCAGCTGGCACTCTAAGGAAACAAAAATACATGAGAATGGTGGCAATTTCCAAAAAAGGAATTCAACCAGAACGATTACCACAAACCAAAAGTGCAATCAGGTACCATTCTTTTCGAGTATATTCACAAATTCAGCAATGGTTGGGTGTCAATATGGATGAAACAAAATAAGTATGAAAAATGGAAAAGAATGTCTTACTACCTATAAAGGCATACAAGGTACCTAGACAGCAATTTTACTTTCAAAACAGAAAAGAATATTTTTTAAATACACTAATTTTTCAATAAACAGCTTAAGTGTAACCCAGTACCCAAAAAAAATCTTCATTAATTTTTAAGCTTAAGTATTTTTTTATTCAGGACCAATTCACATTTTTAACATAATTCAACTATTTATTTATTATTTTTTTGGTAAAAGGTGTCAAATTTTGCCCAAATTGCACAAAAACTGCTGATATCAGCGTTTTAAAAATATTTTTAAATACATTTTATTTTCTATAATTTGTACATATTAAGCTATGTTTGTACAAAATTTTACAAAGATTAGGCATTTTTATAATGAGTTATTACACCTTCTAAACAGCAGGGTCTCCAGTTTTTTATTGTCTTTTTGCAGAAATTTTTCACAAAATTAGGTGAACTAAAATTTTCATTTTTTTTT